AGAAAACTCATCAAATTTCTAATTCTCAATGGCTTCATCCATAAAATGGAATAATAGGGGCAAATAGTGCTGTTGTATGGACTAAATACAAGATCTGAATACATTTAAGGCATTTAACATCTTATCTTACCAAGAGTTCAGTAATGGAGACTTTTTTTGCTGGGGGGAAAAAAACAGTATGTGTTAAGGTGGGACTTGGACCCAAACTTCTGGCTCGAAATTTCCTTTCAGTATACCACTGACACTGGATATCTGAGAATTCAACTCTATAAATTAAGATTTTAAAAAATCCATTCATTTGCTAAATGCTTACCTGCCCCACCCTGGCCCCACCAAAATCTGCAGCTCCAAATTACTATAATCTTTTAGGTGGCTCACAGTTCCAGCACCTACCTTTACTTATTCAACTGCTACTTCAAAATCATCCTGATCAAGATTAAATTTGCAGAACAGACCTCACACTTGCCTGGCACCAGGTAATTCACCAACAACTGCATTTTTCTTACAGAGCAGATTTCTTGTTAACAAAATTCCTGTTTTGTCTGGGAAATTATTTCTCCTTCATATTTGAAGAATATTTTTGCAGGATATAAGATTCTAGGATTAAGCCTTTTACCATCAGTGCTTTGAATATGTTGTGTCACTCTCTCCTGGCCTATAAAGTTTCCATTGAAAAGTCTGCTTCCAGACATGCAGGAACACCTTTACAGGTTTCACTGTCTTTTTTCTTGCTTCCCTTTAAGATACTTTCATTATTCTTGATCTTTGGGAGCTTGATTACTAAATGCCTTAAGGTAGTCTCATTTGGGTTAAATCTCCTTGGTTTTCTATGACTCCCTTGTACATGAATATTGATATCTTTCTCTAGGTTTGGAAAGTTCTCTCTTATTTCTTTGAATAAAGTTTCTGTCCCCATAACTATCTATGTATCTATCTGTCTGGCTGTCTATCTATCTATCTCCTCTTCTCTGTAAGGCCAATAACTCTTAGTATTACCCTTTTGAGGCTATTTTCTAGATCTAATAGTTATGCTTCATTCTCTTTTATTTTTTCTCTTTTCTCTTCTGTGTGTTTTCATATAGTCTATCTTCAAGTTCACTAATTCTTTCTTTTGATTTATCAATTCTGGTGTTGAAAGACTCTGATACCCACTCGGCCTCTGAAGTCTATCTTTGTGTCGTCTTGAAGGTCGCTGAGCTTCCTCAGAACCGCTATTTTGATTTCTGTTTGAAAAGTCACCTCTCTTCATCACTCTGGGATTGGTCACTGGCGCCTTTTTTAGTTCATTTGGTGAAGTCACGTTTTCTTGGATGTTCTTGGTGCTGGTGGATATTCATTGATGTGTGGACATTGAAGAGTTAGGTATTTATTCTAATCTTCACAGTCTGGGCTTTTTTTTTTTTACTCATCTTCTTGAAAATAATTTCCAGGTATTCAAAGGGAACTGAGTATTATGATCTAAGTCTTTGGTTATTGCAGCCATATAAGTACCAGGGGACACCCCAAGCCCAGTAACACTGCAACTCTTGCAGACTCCTGGCCATAACATTTTGGGGGATTTGGGTAAGATATAGGAGAAATCACTTTCCCCAAACAAAAGAAATTTCACTCTCCATGCTGGGCTTACTAGAGCTAGGAGAGGAGTGATGGCCATCATAGCTGGGACTGTGCCAGGTCACACCTCAAGACAACCCAGTCTCACCACTACTGCCTGCCTTTACTCAACTCAGGCTCACCACTACTAAGGGCTCTTTATTCAGCAGATGGTGAATTCTGCCAGCACTGGGTCCTTCCCGTCAGAGGTGCAAATGTTATCAGTGTATATTGAGTGTTATTTGTTATCTTATATCTCAAATGTGACTTGAGTATTACAATTTTAATACAGTTTTTTCCTCTCTTAAAATGTGTATACATGTTTCAGCACCCTCTATATGTGTGTATATTACACACATTATATTTGTATTGTTATTGGGTCACCACTACATCATGTACATTTTATTATATACAATTGATTTTAAATCAATTAAGAAGAAAATATGCATACATACTATATTTCGTGTTTACATAACTACCTTTACCACTACTCTGTTTTTTTAATACAGATTTGGATTACTGTGTGGGCCATTTGTTTTCAGCCTGAAGAAATCCTTAAGTATGTCTTATGAAAACAGGTCTTCTAGCAACAGTATATGGTTTTGTTTATCTGTGAAAGTTTGTTATTAGGATGACTTCATTTTGAAAGATACATTTTATGCATATAGGATTCTGGGCCAATGGCTTTTTCTTTAACTACTTTAAATATGTATTCCACTGTCTTTTGACTTCCTTTGTTTCTTCCGAAAAGTCTACAATTAATATTAGCCATTTATTTTTACATTATGTCTCACTAGAGAATGTGAAGCTAAGCCTGACTCTTATTAACAACTTAATACATAGATTTGTTTATTGACCATGTGGATGGAATTGTTTCACATTCTATTTAAAGTTTATAGAATCCCTGATTGTCATTTATATACAATAATAAGCAATACTTATTAAGTGTTCACTGCATGCCAGTCCCCTCGTCCCCACCCATTTTTCACATGAGGAACTGAGCCAATTGGATAAAGAAAATGTGTGTGTGTACTACATAGTACTCCACCATAAAATATTATTACACTATAAAAAAGAAAAATAATGAAAGAAAATCATATCTTTTGCCATGGAACTAGATGAAACTAGAAGCCATTATGTTAAATGAAGTAACTCTGAAAACATAAAAGTCAAACATCACATGTTCTCACTTTTACATGATAGTTAAATAATGTGTATGTATGGACATAAGGTGTGGAATAATAGTCATGGTAGATTTGTGAGGGTGGGAAGATGGGAGGAGGTGAGGGATGAGAAATTACTTAAAGGGTACGATGTACATTTGGGGGATAATAGTTACCCTAAAAAACCCAGCCTTCACCATTATAAATACATCCATGTAACAAACTACAATTACACCCCTTACATTTATACAAATAAAAAAAAATCAAAACATTATAATACATACAAAAATTCTTTTAAAGAACTCAAGTAACCTGCCTATGGTGTACAGCTAGTGAGGGGAAGCACTCAGACTTGACTTTAAGAGTTCTGGGAGCACAGTTTTTATTCTTGCATTATATGGCATACTGGGACAGTATTAGTTTGGGGTCTATTCATTTTGTGACTGTTCACTTTATTGACATCTTTATTTTTCCTGTTGATGTTTCCATTGATTTTCTTATATTTCCCAAAAAGATCATCATATCAGTCAATAATGACAATTTTTCTTTCTCCTTTTCAACATTTTTATTTCCCCTTTGCCCCATTTGATAATATCCAATTGTTATAATGCATATACCTGTATTAAATATCATTTGAAAGTCTATACAATATCATAACATGACAGTACTAATTTTTTTAATTTTTTTATTAAGTCAAATACACATAGATCATGAATACATTCATGTATATGTGGGGTACAATGTGCTGATTTTGATTTTTTTTATACAATCTGATGTGGTTACATTAAACTAATCAACATAGCTTTCACCTCATTTACTTGATTATTATGCCAAAACATCTATGTTCTTCATTTCACAGATTAGACTTGCACCCTTGTCATATGCTCCATAGGTGTGGTCCCACTTTTTACCCTCCTTTAACCTTTAACCTTTCCCTTCCCACTCCATTTCTCTCTTTCATCCTGGGTTATAGTTGTGTTCTATCTTTCATACATAGTGTGAGTAAATATAAGTAGGTTTCATAGAAGTACTGAGTACATTGGATACTTTTTCCTCCAGTCTTGAGGAATACAGCAGCATCTCAGGCTACAAAATCAATACTCACAAATCAGTAGCATTCATATATACCAATAATAGTCAAGCTGAAAAAACAGTCATGGACTCTATTCCCTTTACAGTAGTGCCAAAGAAAATGAAATACCTGGAAGTGTATCTAACAAAGGACAATACTAATGTTTAAGTATTTCAAGAGCATTGGAAGATGGCAAGATTTAAAATAAGACTTAGACATTATTTCTATAATACTGAATATGCTAGATTTGAAGTTGCTGGAAGTTACATAAAGATTTTCCACATTCTGGTTTTTGCCTGTTGTTACTTTGTTGCTGGTTTTTATTTTAAAACTTAGTCCAAGATATTTTTACTGCTAAGAAAATGATTTCTTATCTTCATGTATTTCTTCAATCAAAAACATTTTCTAAACATATTACAGAAAGTCTGAAAAATGGATGGAGATAACCAAAGTGAGGACTCCGAGTTCCTACTCCTGGGGCTCTCAGAGAGACCTGAGCAGCACCAAATCCTATTTTGGATGTTCCTGTCCATGTACCTGGTCACGGTGGTGGGAAACGTGCTCATCATCCTGGCCATCAGCTCTGACTCCCGCCTGCACACTCCCATGTACTTCTTCCTGGCCAACCTCTCCTTCACTGACCTCTTCTTCGTCACCAACACAATCCCCAAGATGCTGGTGAACCTTCAGTCCCAGAACAAGGCCATCTCCTATGTGGGGTGTCTGACACAGCTCTACTTCCTGGTCTCCTTGGTGACTTTGGACAACTTCATCCTGGCTGTGATGGCGTATGACCGCCATGTGGCCATCTGTCGCCCTCTCCACTATATCACAGCCATGAACCCTGGGCTTTGCATCTTGCTTGTCACTTTGTGTTGGGTGCTCTCTGCCCTTTATGGCCTCCTCCTCACCGTTCTTATGACCAGAGTGACCTTCTGTGGGCCCCGAAAGATCCACTACATCTTCTGTGAGATGTACATCCTACTGAGACTGGCATGTTCCAACACCCACATCATTCACACAGTGCTGGTTGCGACGGGCTGCTTCATCTTCCTCACCCCTTTAGGATTCATGATCATGTCTTATGTCCGCATCGTCAGAGCCATCCTTCAAATACCCTCAGCCTCTAACAAGTACAAAGCCTTCTCTACCTGTGCCTCCCATTTGGGTGTGGTCTCCCTCTTCTATGGGACACTGGGCATGGTTTACCTTCAGCCACTCCAAACCTACTCCATGAAGGACTCAGTAGCCACAGTGATGTATGCTGTGGTCACTCCCATGATGAACCCTTTCATCTACAGCCTGAGGAACAAGGACATGCATGGGGCTCTGGGAAGACTCCTAGGGGGGCCATTTCAGAGCTTAAAATTAGGATAATTTTGAAAACAGCATTACCTATTATTACTTTGTTGCTGGTTTTTATTTTAAAACTTAGTCTAAGATATTTTTACTGCTAAGAAAATGATTTCTTATCTTCATGTATTTGTTCAATCAAAAACATTTTCTAGGAATATCCTTCACCACCTATGAGGCATTATTCTGTAGGGTATACAACAATAATGAGGGCATAGCTCCAGCTCAGAATGAACATATGTTTTTGTGGTTAAGAAAAGACATAATGTATCCCCCAGACCTCACTGGCTCTGGCAATAAATAAGGTCACACTAAAGATTACATAAAGATTTTCCATGTTCTGTTTTTTGCCTATTATTACTTTGTTGCTGGATTTATTTTATTTATTTATTT